TCCAGCGCAGACCCTCCTGGCTCCTGGTGCAGACTCGCGGCAGGCCTTCCCCTGGGCTCCCAACCAGGCCCTCAGAAGCTCCATGTCCCTCCTTTTTGCTATGGTCTTCTCTGTGCCCACAATAAAGGCATTTTTTACTTCTGTTTTATTTTTATCTGTGCCAAGAACCTATCAGTTTTATTGTAAGACAAACAGAGCACTGCTTCCTAGACATCTGGTCAACTACCAATACTAATGCTGCATTACACATTTTGTGTATGAAAAGGCTGACACTGAGGGGCGCTGATATGATCCCTGGAGACTCCCCAACAGTACAAGATAGAAAACTCAGTGGACACCAACCAGGAAAGATGGTCAAAGTCTCTTCCCCCACTGCCATGGTCATGTCCAAGCCCGCGTCGCCCAAGGAGCCCGAACAGCTGCGGAAGCTCTTCGTTGGAAGGCTGAGCTCTCACACAACCGATGAGTCTGGGAAGCCACCTGAGCAGTGGGGGACACTCACGGACTGTGCGGCGCTCAGAGACCCGAACACCAAGCGCCCCAGGGGCTTTGGGTCTGTCACTTCTGCCACCATGGAGGAGGCGGATGCAGCCAGGAGCGCAAGGCCGCACCACGTGGATGGGAGAGCAGTGGAAACCGAGAGCTGTCTCCAGAGAAGATTCCCAAAGACCAGGCGCCCACCTGGCCTGAGGAAGGTCTTTGTTGGTGGCATTAAAAAAGATATCGAAGAACACCACCTACGAGATTCTTTTCAACAGTATGGAGAGACTGAAGTGACTGAAATCCTGACTGACCTGGGCACTGGGAAGAAGAGGGGCTTTGCTCTCGTCACCTTCCATGACCACGATTCTGCAGATAAGGTTGTCATTCGCGGACACCATGCTGTGAACGGCCACATGTGTGAAGTGAGGAAAGCCCTGTCCAGGCAAGCCATGGCTAGTGCTTCCTCTGGCCAAAGAGGTCCAGGCGGTTCTGCAAATTTTCCTGGTGGTCCTGGAAGTGGTTTTGGTGGCTATGACAATTGTGCTCACAGAGGAAACTTCAGTGGTCCAGGTGCCTTTGGTGGCAGTGGCTTTCGGTCCCGTGGACTTGGTAATGATGAGAGCACGTTTCGAGTTGGTGGAAGCTACAGTGATTTTGGCAGTTACCACGATCAATCTTCCCATTATGGACCCATGAAGACAGCAAACTCTGGAAGCAGAAGCTCTGGGCCCTATGGTGGTGGAGGCCAATACTTTGCCAAGCCATGAAATCGAGGTAGCTATGGTGGCTCTGGCCGCAACGGTAGCTGTGGCAGTGGCCGAAGATTTTAAATAGAGTACTGCCGGGTAACAGAGCCCAGCAGGAGAGCAGAGCCAGAGCATTTTTCTTTAAACTACAAAATATGGCTCCCATAGGAGTAATATTCACTTTCAGTAAAGTGACCTTAGACGTGACCAGCCATAAGGCGGGTGTGATGGCACATGCCTGTTATTCCAGCACTTGGAAGGCTGAGGCAGGAGGATTGTGACTTCAAGCCTACATTACAAGCTTAAGGGCAGCCTGGACTGCACAGTGAGTGAGAACCAAGAAACAAGAGGCCAGGCACAACAAATGCCCTTTGGAAAAATAATTTTTTATCCATTAGATGAACCTAGTCTAGGCTTGTCTTCCTCTTTGGCAGAGTCACAGTTTTACTACTCGACTACTCTCAATGCCTTCCCCTCCAAACCAGAGAACGCCACCCTTTAACAGGGTTGTTGTAAGAATTAAATGTAACATTTTTATCAGGGGTTCAAGAATTTAGCGCTCCATAAGTGATAGTTATATTGTTCACTAACTAAAAAAACAATTATTAGGGCTGCCTAAATTAATCCACAGTCAAAAGATCTAAAGCCTCAGAGAACAAAGGGTACAAGAACCAGTTCAGGTAGGAATTCAACTCGCAGCCTGCATTACACCACCGGAGCCTTAACCTTGGTGCAAACACCACGTGTGCTCATGCGCAGTTACGCAGCTTTAGCCTAGCCGCGGGCTCAGCTACGTGCCAAAGGCGCTTAGTTGTGCGCCTGCGCCATGACCTAGACTCTGCGCATGCGTCCTTCGGGACTGGCGGGATCGGAGACTATGGCGTGGGTACCCGCGGAGTCTGCAGTGGAAGAGTTGATGCCCCGGCTATTGCCGGTGGAGCCCTGCGACTTGACAGAAGCTTTCGATCCCTCGGTACCCCCGAGGACGCCTCAGGAATACCTGAGGCGGGTCCAGTGAGTGATGTGGCCTCCCGTGGGTGGGCGTCCCGTCCCCCCCGCCCCTGGGCGCTGCGCGGTGCCGGGCTGGAGCCCTGTGGGAGCTAAAGCCGCGCCGCGGTTCGCGTCCCAGCCTGTCGCGAGGCGGGTCTGCTCGGGCTCCCTGGGTGACATCCGCGCGAGGCCGTGTGTCTCTGGAAATAGACGTCACGCATCAAAGCCTATCGAGCCGTGTGCTCTTAGCTGCTTTCCTGAAATCGTTTCAGGCGTACAATTAGTGCCTCGGTTTGAAACCTGAATTATTTTTCTGATTTCAAAATGAACCGAAGTGGATCACTTGCGCCTGGACACATGAGTAAAATGCACAATTGTAACTAAATTTCTTGCACTTACTGTTTGTAGGATCGAAGCAGCTCGGTGTCCGGATGTTGTGGTAGCTCAAATTGACCCAAAGAAATTGAAAAGGAAGCAAAGTGTGAATGTTTCTGTGAGTTTTACTAACTAACCGTCTGGGGACTTCTCACCACATGCACACGAAATAAAGACCCAACAGCATCTTTCTCTGGTTCCCAGCGTTGTTAACTATGTTAATTATAGTTTGGTTGCCCCGTACAAAGTTAGATAAACGTACTTTTGTACATTTGCTTGGATTTTTTTTGCTTCAGAAAGACAGTTGACGTTTACTGCCTTCAGAGACTTTCAGTAGCCCTGATATTTGTAGAGATTTGTCTATCGCTTTTTAGGGATATAATTTAATGCTAAAAAAGCCTTTTAATTGGTTACTTATGCTACTCTGGGAGGAGTATTTTTTTCTTTTGGTAATTATTATTGGACTGGTGTTTAATCTTAATGTAGTTTGCACATTGTTAATTTTCCCCGGGAACCTAAAAGTATTACACTTTTGTGGCTACTTGCACACTGTAAACACTTTATTCATTTATCCAGCACACTTTAGTAGTCATGATGATTACCTTCATGGTAGGGGATAGGTACATCTACATAACACATTTCAGTTCCTTTCTTACCCACCCCCTAATGTGCTGTGTTAAAAAACAGAGGTAGGCCTTTTCAAACCTTTAAATTATTTGAGCATATGTTACCCATACCAAAATTCTTTATGTGGGGCATACCTCTCTTTTTGTTTCTGTTTTAAAATTATGGAAGGGTTGAACTAGATAATATCTTCAGGGTTCGTGTCATTTAGATTTCTTAAAAATTCCAGCGATAAGACATCCAAGAATTCTCTTATTGTAGTGATTATCTTTTCCTACGATTTTTAATTGGGACATAAATAATAAAGTGAAAGGCCTACTTTTTGCACCTATAAAACTACCTTTTTTCTTAAATAGCCTTAATTTTTCACTCTTCATCTTGGTTTTTCTTTGTGGAGGCATGAGATTCCAGTTATAGCACTGAACACTGATGCTAACATTTGTGAACTGGTTTCTAGCTTTCAGGATGCCAGCCTGCCCCTGAGGGTTATTCCCCAACACTTCAGTGGCAACAGCAGCAAGTGGTACAGTTCTCAGCTGTTCGACAGGTAAATGTCACACTTAATCAAGTTAAAGCCCCTTCACATTAGTTTCTGCTAATTCTAAAGCAACAGCATTCATGAATTATTACCCTATTATGATTGTAATCATTAGACATATTACTGTTTGTAACATATTGTCCAAGAGTTTTTTTTGTGTGTGCCCTGATGTCCCTTTCTTTCTTTCTTTCTTTCTTTTTCTTTCTTTCTTTCTTCTTTCTTTCTTTCTTTCTTTCTTTCTTTCTTTCTTTCTTTTAATATTTGTCCAAGTCTTAGTATTGTTGGAATTTTGTGCAGAAGCTCATTTTTTTTTCTTTTTTACTCATCAGATGATCATTAATTTTTCTCCCTTTAGAATGTGAATAAACATAGAAGTCACTGGAAATCACAGCAATTGGATAGCAATGTGACTATGGTATGTAAGCTTCTTATTTTGAGTTATACAGTGTATACCTGTTTGAAATAGTCTGTGTTAATTTTCAGTCTTCAAAGATTCACTTTCTTGGTCCATATTATTTTCACTCACTTTCTATATACCATTATGTAATAGTAACACTTCCATTAAATGAATAACCCAAAAAGTATAGACTCAGTAGTACAAGTTGTTATTTTCATGACTGTTTTAATCCATCATATTGGGATACTTTGGGTATGTGTCATATTTTGGAAGTGTATCAATGGTCGAAATCAAAATAGTCACTTGTATCAACTCTAACCAAAAAGTAAATAAAACTGGAAAGTAAGAAGGATAGGTTGTGTTAAGCAGGATTGCCTAATATTTACATCATAAAAGACTGTCAAACCCCTGGACTAAGATCACTGCAACCTTATACAAAAGTACTTCTACAGTGACATCTGCCTAGCAACTCTGTAGTCAACCTCTGACTGACTTCATTTTTGTTTTTAATCATTATGGTCAGGGATTATTGTTTCAAAATATCTGATGCAATGATCATTTCTGTCTTGTGTCTTCAAAAACTTGCGCTTCACTTCTTTTCTTTGACTATCCCCATAGTTTACTGTGACACCTGTACACCATTACAGTTCTCGGTTATTCCCAAATTAATGTCCCTATTTGGAGAATCTCTTGATTTATTTAGGTTGACAAATAGGCAATTAGCTTTTGTAAGTTTTTAAGGATTCTTTACTTTTTAGGAAAGAAATACATTTTCAGTATTTAAAAAGCCTGAGTAAATGCTTAATTGGAATTCCCTGTTGTGATAGTGGTAGCGTGCGATAAACTACATATTTATGGAGCATCATCTCTGCTTCACAGTAATGATGACATAATAGTGAAGCCTGTTGTGCTACTACAACATAGTATTTTCTACATTTTATCAACTTAGACACAGTATTAAGCCTTTCAGCAGCTGTATGAGCTCTCCAAATGAAAACAGGAGTTGGTAAAGAGGTAAGATACGTTCTTCTAGGCAATCATTTTTAACCTTTTAGGGAAGAATGTGTCATATCTGAGAATCTAATGAAAGATATGATGTGCTTTTTGTGTATCCAAATTTTCCCTGATAAGGATGCCAGTCAGAGTTGATTAGAACCTCTGTAGTGGTCTCATTTAAACTGAATCACCAAGTATAGTCACAGCCTAAGGTGCTCTGGGGTTTGGCCTTCAACATACGAATTTCAAGGACACACCATTTTGCCCATGGTGGGCACTATGTTGAGGTGGTAGCAATGTGGGGGTTCCTTACAGAGTTGTTTTGTTTTTTTCTGTTCAGTATAAAAATACATAGAAATAAGTATTTTATTTTTCTTTTCAGCCAAAATCTGAAGATGAAGAAGGTTGGAAAAAATTCTGTTTAGGAGAAAGATTATGTGCTGAAGGGGCTGTTGGGCCAACTATAAATGAAAGTCCGGGAATTGATTATGTGCAAGTAGGTGATAAACAGAACAAAGACTCTTATAATTTTGGTACTTCACTTAGTGTAAGCACACTGTAACACGGGCCAGAAATTCACAGCACAACCTGGTCTTCAGCATCTCATGGGCTGAGTGGTTTTTACTTTAAAAGTTGTATAAGAAGAGACAAAATGTGACTGACCTGCAAAGCCTAAAATATTTATTGCTTGGCTCCTTAGAAAAAATATTTGTCATCCCCTAAATTCTGGGTTTTTTTTGTTTTTTTTGTTTTTTTGTTTTTTTTTTTTTTGGTTTTTCTCTGGTACTGGGAACCGAACTCACGACCTTGCGCTTGCCAGGCAGGCGCTTTGCCGCTGAGCTAAATCCCCAGCCCCTAAATTCTGTTATTGACTGCTTAACTTACAAAGTGGCAGCCTAGTTTCTAAAGCAATTTACTGTGACTTATTTTAGGTTACCTTCATATCTTTAATGTTTTAGCTGTCTAGTAATTTTAGAAGTTGACAGAATTTGGTTTTTTGTTTGTTCTGTTTTGTTTGAGACAGGATCTCACTACATAGTTGAAGCTGACCTTGAACTCACTATGCAGCCCAGGCTGGTCTCAAACTTGTGGTAGTCTACTGCCTGGCCTCCCCAGTGCTGGGATTACAGGTGTGCACCACCATGCCTGGCTGGCTTCCCAGTGTATTGTACCATTCTGTTCAGCAGATATTTATTGTTTACTATGTGATACCATATTCTGTTTTTCCCCTTTATTGGGGATAAATTAATTTATCTCCAAAATCACTGAAGTTCAAGAACATCAGCCCCTACCAAAAAAAGAAAAGAATATTAGGCAAAGGATAAAGGCATGTCACAAAGAGGAAGTACACATTGTTCTTGTATGAATAGGAATATGCTCAGCCTCACAGTAGAAGGGTAGCTTACCTGTGTTGCTGTACAGCTTTCCAGGTCATGTATGGCAAAGCGTGGTGTGTTCATTTGACAGCAGCTAGGAAACAATCCCTCTTGCACATGGTGTAGGAGGATAGATTTCGAGTCTTCAGAGAAGCTAATTTGGTATTCTTGTACAAAATCTTTTTTTTTTTTTTGAGGTACTGGGGATTGAATCTAACCCCTTCTGCTGAGTGACATTCCCATCCCTTTTTATTCTTTTAATTTGGGGTCAGGGTTTTTCTACATCACTAAGCTGCCAGAGATGGCTCAAACTTGCAGTCCTCTTGCCTCAGCCTCCCAGAATGCCAGGGTTACAGGAATGTGTGACCGTGCTTGGCTTGCAAGGTATTATTTTAGATAAATACTTAATGCAAGCTACATTTCAAAAATGTTTTAATTAAAAATATTCATTTAGCTTGTTATCACAGAATATAAACAAGTAAAATATACCATGGTTAAAGGACCAAGTAAGAACACAAGAATTTAATGCATGCTGCTAGACATGGTATTACACTCCTGTAGTCCCAGCACTCAGGTGGCTGAGGCAGGAGGATCACTGCAGGTTCAGAGTCAGCCTGGGCTACACACTGTGTCAGAGGCCAACCTGAACTACATAGCAATACCCTGTCTCAAAAAAATAAAAATAAAAGTTCTTTAAAATATATTCTAATTCAGGTGCCCTTAATTCCTGAAAACATTAGATTTTTTAAATGGTCTATAAAACATATTAATAGTATCAGTGTCTTAATTTTATTGAAAATAATTGATGTTAACTTTTAAGAAGTTTTTATTTCATACTTCAACATTTTAGTTACTTAAATCATACTTTATTTTTAAATTTATATATGCAAACTTCAAGATATATTTTGTACCAGGCATGGTGGTACATGCCTGTAATACCAGCACTCAGGAGGCTGAGGCAGGAGGATTGTTGCAAGTTCAAGGCCAGCCTGAACTGCAGAGCGAAACCCTGTCGCAAAAAGACCAAAAAAAAAAAAAAACAATATATTTTGTTGATCCTTGCCAACACAGTAGTCCCAGGAATGACTCATTATCATGGGCAGTAAAGGAATTTTCTTTTATCTGTTCTTTATGTCTAAATAGCAGTATGACAAGGAAACGTACAGTTTGAAAAAAGCTAAAGCCCCTTCTTATAATGTCATTTAGTAAATAGCACTGTCATTTTTCTTCTTTCAGATTGGATTTCCTCCCTTGCTTAGCATTGTTAGCAGATTGAATCAGGTAAAATCCATCAAACATTAAGGATGTCTGCATTATTTTGTTTGTAATGTGTGTGAAGTATTAGAATGCATTTACTTGCATATTTACAGTGTGTAAGACCATGTACTAATTGCTTCAGAATTTTTACAGATTTTTATTGTTTGAAGTTGGAGTTTTGTCAGGTTGCCCAGGCTGGCCTTGAACTTGCAATCCTCCTGGCTCTATGTACCTGGCTGTTCTAAATGCTCTCTTTTTTAATAGTAGTAGGAATTGAACCCAAGGCCTTCACACTGAGCTTGATCCCGACCTTTCCTATAATTTTTAATTTTGAGATAAGGTCTCGCCAAGTCACTGAGTTGCTCTGGCTGGGTTCAGAATTTCAAACCTCCTGCCTCGGCCTCCCTGAGTGCTGGGATTACAGGTGTGTGCCACCGTGCATGTCTAATAATCATTTTCTATAAATGACACAAAATTTGAGTTCAAGTGACTTGCAGGTTGTTTTTCAGCAAGTAAATGATAGCACTGAGATTTAATAGCAGGCGGATCTGACTCCAGAGCTCATACTCTCAATGTGGTGCTAAAGTATTTATTCGTGTCAGTTATAATTCTTAGAGTCTGAGGTTCGAATTAAACATTAAGGTCAGAGTGCATTTCTAGTCCTCAGACGTCCTGCCCATTACATTAAGGTTGACGTATGGTGGGCATGAGAATGCGTGCCTGCAATCCCAGCACCCTGGGAGGCTGGAGCAGGAGGATCACAAGTTTAGGCGCAGCCTCGGTGACTTGGTGAGATCCTTTCTCAAAATAACTTTTTTTTTGTATCAGGAATTGAACTCAGGACCTTGCGCTTGCCAGGCAGGCGCTATGCGACTAAGCTGCATCCCCAGTCTTCAAAAGAAAACATTCTAAAAATGTCCTCAGGATGTAGCTCAGTGCCAGGCCATTCATTCAATTCCCAGAAGAAAAGAAAAGCTTGAAATACATAATTTCAAGGACCAAAAGGGAAGAAATACAGAATTTGGTTCCCGGCTTTTAAGTGCCCATGGAAAACTTGGTTTTGAAGGTCATACTATGTTGGAAATCATACATAGGATGATAGTTTCACTTACTTTATCATTTGAGTTAAAATACTATAACTGAGCTGGGCATGGTGGCTCATGCCTGTAATCCCAGCACTCCAGAGGCTGAGGCAGAACAATTGCTGTGAGTTCAAGGC